GCCTTTTAGGCTTTTCTGGTCTAGATGACTTGTGAAACTGTCTTTAGTAAAGAAAAAGAAATTATTTTTCTGTCATGTCTCTACAGCATAATTCTTGTAGTCCAAATATATGTTCTGTGACCAGGGCTTCTGCCCTGCTAATACAGAGTCAAGCAACATTTGTATCACTTCTGGAAAAAGAATGGAGTAGGTGTTTAGAGTGGGCACCCCCTTCAGAATTTTTGCTTACAGGTTTGAGGTTTTGTGGGATGACTTTTATGGCTACAATAGATACTACTGATTTAAAAAAAAAAAAAAATCACAAAAACAAAAACCAAACAAACAAAAAACCCAAACAAAAACCCCCACAACAAACCAGTCTCAAGCATATTAGAATATATGATGACTGTGAGGTACTTGTCCAAATATATTTTATATGATAATGCACTATCACAATAATTTGTACCATCACAGCTGGACTCGTAGTTTTCTGTTAAATGAGCCAAAATATCAGACTTAAGGTGATGAAATTTGAGTGCACATCCAACCTGTAGATGGAAGTTTGAAAACAAAATGTTTGTCATAGGATCAAAATTAGAAGAACACTGAGTTAACTAACAGTTTTTGTGGAAAGGAATATCTTCACTGAGATTATGTAAGAATATTTTTGTGATATTATGTCAGAAGTAACGTAACTGTGGTGTGGTATCTTCCTGATTATAGATGTAGACTTGAAAGAGCTTATTTCTTTCTGTTTAGAGGTTTTATATTGGGATATTTTTTTAATGTTTATCTGTAGACTACAAGTCTAGGGATGTACTGGTGATGAATCTTGGGAAAAATTTACTGTATCAGTTAGCTTTTAAAAAGACCAAAACAAAACAGTTGTATTAACTTCAGTGTAAATGAACTTGAGTTTTCTGCAGCTGTGCTGATAGTAAGTTTTGAAACATATTTATAACTTCTTAATGTAAAGTTCAGACACTTCTAGAGAGAGATTCCTGAATTTTATGCAGTAGAATAAATTTTAGCTGTTCAGCTGTTCTGTGAACTTGTAAAATGAAGAAACCTCCTCTTGATGCAGTTGTTTGATAGTTCAAATATTTTTTTTCAGATCAGATTTCATGATCCTTTGTTTTTACTATGTCATAGGTTGAGGAAGCTTGATAGTGTATTAATATGCAAACAAAAAATCTGATGTACATTTGCCACAAGTGAGCAAAGACCTGTTTTAGTGCATTGTTCGCCTTAGTCTATTTGCTGATTTTCAGTAGTTTATGTAGTCACCAGCATATTTATGATTTATTTACACTACCATGTTTCACTTAGAAGCCTGTGGTTTTATGTGCTTTTGGTGAGAGTCCAAATTAGCTGTATGTTAAAAATTTGAGTTCCCATTCTATTCCTTAATGTCAGCATGCCAAAAAATACAAAAAGCTCCTCTTCTTTATAGTAGGTTTCAATAAAGTTTTAAATTAGAGTAAGGGGCCTCTGTAAATAGATCTAACTTAGGTTTGGTGCCCTAAGAAAACAAATCAACCCTGGCTGTTGTACAGCATGGATCCTTTCCTGTTAATTTTCTGTCCAGCCAGGCAGTGACATTTGGGATTGTGTTAATTTCCTAGTCCCTTATAGGTCCCTTAGGAGGCAATGTTATCACTTCAGAGAGTACGGTCCCTGCTGCAGGCAAGCCCTGTTCTCTAATCTGTCTTCATGGTTGTGCTCTAGGCGATTTGCTTCGCGTACCATGCTCCTTGACGGCACTGTGCTGCCTAACAGATTTTACAACTGATTGCTTGATTGCTCTCAGGAAGGGTGCGGTTTTTTTTCTCTCCTTTTCTGGGTTCCTTAGCCTGATGTGTGCAGCAATAAGGATAGGCAAGACAGCTGTCCTGCCCTTGTGCTACTCAGCTGTGCTTTTCTGAGTAATTTTCTGAATAAAGCTGGCATTACCCACAGAGTGAACTATCAAAAAAGTTTTGCATTTCAGACTCTGCAAAAATAAAACATTAGCTCTGTCCCAGTTTGAGTTTATAACTTAGTGTATGTATATGCTTTGCACAGATAAGCAAAAGAAGGAATAAAGCAAATTAAAATAACCCAATGAATATGTTCTGCCAGTGAGCTGTGGTGATCCTAAATAACAGACAGATCAACCACCAGTGTGCTAGGGATCAGCAACTTATTTTCAGTTTTTCAAATTTGATGGACAACTTCCTAGTTCCAAAGAAGTGGGCCTTTTTTAGGCCAGCTTTGAGAGGGTACATTATAGATGAAGTGCACCGTGGGTAGGATACTGAACGTGTGGCAGAATTGCGTAATGAAAGATATCACTTATGATGTGATGATGGGAAAAAAGTTACAATAAACCTTATAATAAGGTCAGGGCCTATCAAAAAGCTAAAGTGATCATGAGGTTTGCACAATATGCTACTCAGTCGTATCTAAAATTTGCATCTTAATTCTGACCAAATTTCTCTTTTTGTTTAGTATTTTTTCCTGGAAAAGGACATAAATTTCCATGTATCTCCTTGGAAAAGCCCATTAGGGAAATTAATACAGTTTGGGGACTAGTAATTGTTTTCCCCTCTGTTTTACATTGACTATGCTAACAAGATTGTGTTACCGTGGGGATATGTTTTATCTTTTCAGTGCTTTGGTGTTAGAGAGATTCTAAAGGAAAATCTTCGTGAGATATATACATAGGGAAAAAGCAAGGTATCTTGCATGAGTTTTTGAAAAATAAAAAGAAAAAAGGGAAAAGAAAATCTGGAGTTGACATTATGGGCATTTATGGTGATTTCATGTACAAAATGTACCATTCTAGAGTTATTAAATTTGGCAGACTAACAAGAATTCAATCTACCTGGCAGTAATTATCAAAAGAACAAGGCAAAAGGTTTCTTGAAACCAAAGATCTTGTCCGATGAATTGTAGGGTACTGTGATTAAAAAATTAAACACCAGAAAGAACAAATTTGAAGGGCATCTGCTTTTGATGACTCACCGAAGAAGAGTAACATGTAATTGACATTCTCTCTCTTTTGTCTATGCTGGGTTTTTTTGTAGATTGGTGTCCTTTATAGTTCATTTACTAATAATATAGCAAATCATCCATTATTCTGATTCTGTTCTCCGTTACTCTAGCTGGCTGGTAATTGTGTGAAGTGTGTTTAAAACATCACAAGGTTTTGCTTTTCAGTGCTTGATAAATCCTGCAGTTACCACCTTCATTTATCCATATCTGCACCTGCATTTCAAATCAAAAGAAAATTCAAGGAAATAGATGAATTATATGAAAGGGGAATGACCTTTTTTTACACACACTAGCTATTACTGGAGTGAACTGCATTGCTGACTGCTCACTATTAGGCAGATGGTACTGTTGGTAGTGGTTAAGGCAATCTTGTGTGTTACTTATTATAGCTAATCAGAGTTAGAAATTTCCTTTTAAACAAATTTTTACTTGATTTCTTTAATTTTGAGCTGTTTGTGAAGGAGCTGGGGGGATGAATTTTGTGTAAAAACTGTATATCACAACTGGATAAAAGAAAAAGATGTACAGCCTTTGCAGCTCTGAGATTTTATCTAGAGACTTGGGCTAGTATACAGGATATTACAGCATCCCAAGTTGGATGATGGTGGTAGGCATTGGACAGTGGGTTAGATTTGTTTGACCTAAGGTTACTTTTTTTTTTTCTAGCTTCATTTAGTCAAGGGATTGGGAGAATTAGTAAAAGTGATGGAAGAAATTTGAGTAACTTAGATTTGAAGTTAAGTTTTTCTCTGAGCTGGTCCCTCTAATTTGCTGGATACAGTGCTTGTGCTAATAAACTTGACTAATAAATGTGATACCAATTTACTTTAGAATCAGAGACATCTACATATTGTTGATAACTCTAAAGGAAAAGCATTGCCTGTTTCCATAGCTTCTTCATCACCACAGAGATTAAAGAGATTGCTTTAGCACATTTATAAATTTCCTTAGTCTAGAGCATTTAGTTTGTGTAATTTTCCTTTCTTTCAGAAACTCTCAGTTCCTCATTGGTGCTATGTTGAGTCTGCAGCGTAATGACCTCAGAAGCTGTTGCGCCTGCTGACTGTGCTGAAGACTGGTGGCCATGTTTGGTAGCTTTTTTTCTAGTTGAGACCTGCTTTAGTCTTTTTCTGGCTGAAACTGTTTTCTGCACGATTGCTTCCTGCATTAGAGGAGAGAAACACTTGGCTTGCCCCGTCTGATATTCTAGTAAAATTGCTGATCCTTCATCACAGGAGTAATGATATTTGATGCTTAAGGGGCAGCAGTCTTAGGACAAGTGTCCTCATAAGTTCAATAAGTCCCAATAAGAGTACAAATCTCAATGCAGCATACCAGCAATGACAGGCGACCAATCAAATCCACACAGCACAAAAATCAGGTATTGCCTACTTTTGGTAGCAGAAATACTCACTGCTGTTTTATCCTTGGCATTAGCACAGGATTGCTGGTGTTCAAGATTTCTGGTAGGAGGTCTGCAGTAAAAAGCACCTGCTGTGTTGCTTCTCAAGTGTGGTTGTTGTCCTGGATCTTCAGAAACAGGACTCTCATAATATTGTATTATGACAGACGGGGGTGAGCAGCTTTCTGATGTCCTCTGACTGACTTTGCCACGAGAGTAGCTGTCCCTTCTTTCATGATACAGATTTATTGAAGTTGTTTTCAGATGGAAAAAAATTGAGAGAGCTAAATATCTGCTTAGAGATATTCAGTGAGCCGTCTGAACTGTTCAGCCTGAAGAAAAGGCTTGGGGAAGGGGGGATATTGACAGTGTATAGATACCTAATGGGAGAGAATGAAGATGAGGGAGCCAGACTTGTTTTCAGTAGTGCTCACTGACAGGACAAGAGGCAGTGAATACAGATGAAAGCACATGAAATTCCTTCTGAACATAAGACTTCTTTACAGTGAGGGTGATCCAACAGAAAAAGAAGGTTCCCCAGACAGGCTGCGGGGTCTCTGTGGAGGTATTTAAAATCCAACTGGATATGGACAGCCTGCTCTAGCTGACCCTGCCTGAGCAGGGAGATTAGGCTAGATGATTTCAAGAGATCTCTTCCAACCTAAATGATTCTGTGATTCTGAATTTCCTTGGAAAGCTGACTTGCAGCCCTGGGTGTTCTGGGAGACAGAAAGGGCTATTGTTTTCTTTATGAAATAAAGAAGTAGTGTTTTGGCCCACTCATTGATTCAGGTCATGATGGCTACCTTGGGTTTCACACATTTGGTGCACACCTACAGCAGCTTCCAGTTTAGTTTATTCTGAGAAGAACCCGGTCTTCTGAAGGGCCAAAACCATTTTGCAAGTCTAAGCAGTGTGGATTAAGTGAGGTTTATTGGGGGATTCATTTCAAAACCTACTGCAGGTTTAGATTTGGAAATAAAAATGCTAATGTAGACAGTCATTGAGTGGCAAGAGATCAGCATATATTTGTGGAATAGAATAAGACTTCTTCACAGAAATCAGGCAGGTATTTTTTGGGTAGATTGCTTTTCTCCATAGAATCAAATAAATATTTTCCCTGATTACTTTTTACCACACAAAAAAGTTCAAGATAGCAAATACTTAATTACAAATGATGATCTTAGCTTTCTCATATTTCAGCCTACAGCAGGAGGGAACTAGTCCAATCTGACAGTGCTGGTGGTCTTGGCTAAGTCAAGTTACATGGCTTTTTCATTCTGAAATGTATTTGCAAGAAAAGGACACCACATGAATGATGCCCTTTTCTCTATTAGAAAAAGTCCAGAAAGTCAGTTTACTCTTCGAGACAATTATGAATTGAATGGCTTAGATGTTCTTATCACCTGTCAAGGAAATGGTGAAGGAGGTAGCAATGAGTGGTTGTGGAGTGTCATGCAGAGCAAAATTGGGCACAGGACTTGGTCTTAAGCATTGCTTCTGCGTGAGATCACCTGGTTTGGCGAGAGGTCAAAAGCTCATCTTTACTGCCTTCATGGAGCCAACTGGTGATGCCCTGAATTGCCTCAGTGCCTGTGTGTGTCCACAACTTTCCCATCTTTCATTCTGGAGTTCCTTTGCTGATTGTTTATTACTGTGTTTGGCTCACTAATAATGGTACCTTTTTTCCATCCTGTACCCATGAGTAACTTGATTGACCTTGATTCATATGAGGCAGATGATGTTGAATAACACGTACCTCTTTGAAACAAAGGAGTGAGGGTGATCATAATTTGTTCCGTGTTAAGTCTTGCAGGTGAAGCAGCTGAGTTCAGAAGGGTAAAGTGTGGGGTTTGGTGGTTTTTCAGTGAGAATTATTAAAAGGGGAATGCATGCAAGGACACATCCTCAAAGGAGGTTAGTTCTCATTCATTTTTTCAGAAACTCAGTCCTTCTTTGAGCTCATTGTCCTGATAATTCTTCCTCTGCCTCTCTATCCTCCCCATAGTGTGTGATGTCCCTGCATAGTTAGCACTGCTTCAGTATCTTTCTAACTGCTAAGTGTTGCACTTTTCAGGAGCTTATCTTCAGTGGATAGTGAGCTGTGTCTCCTTAAGTTACTGCCTCTTCCTTGAAGTGACCATAGACAATTTATTGGATTCCTGAGAGTGTGGTGTGATGGTTGTTCTACGCTGGTACTATCTCTTAGCAGTGTAAAAGAACATGTTTTAAAATAAGCAATACAAGAGATGTGAGCTACTTGTCAAACTTGTAACTGACAGTGTTGCAATGTGAAGTTGTCCGAGCTTCGGTGACTGGGGTGACTCTCATAGGCAGTGAGCTTATGCATAGACCATTCTGTTGATCTGATCTAAGGGGTTGTTGCTACTGAAAGGGGAAAGGCATTTTCCTCGTGGAGGCTGTATGGTTATCTCTCCTCTCTAGTGCTAACGTTAACCAGTGAGACCTTCCTATGAGTTGATTTCATGTGTGAGAATAATAAAAAAAAAACCAACCAACCCACCTGTCTGACAGTTGCAGGAAGTTACAGCTGTTGACACAAATATCTAATTAGAATTGATGTTGTTATTATAGTGTAAGTGGCAGGGCTTAACCAGGAGTGAAGGGAGGGCAAAAGGGAGACAAAAGACATCTCTTTCTGTTAATGTTGGAACCCTACCTTTTAAGTGTGTGGTCGATACCTTGTGTGTTTAACTTCAAGAAATAGGTCCCAGTTCTGTAATCTTTAAAACTACATTTATACTGCTAAATGCACTTGCTTCAGGGGGTTATACCTGGTCTTCAGGCCAAGTGGTGTGAAGTGGTGTTGGGCTAGTTTCCTACAGAGCAGGCTGGCCATGTTCATGCAGAGCGGTACTTTGCCTTAAATCTTCTTCGGGTCCTGTGTGGTACCTCTGGGGCTCTAAGCCTCAGTTACTGTCTCGTGTGTGCCAAGTGCCTGAACTAGAGAGACCTGTGTTGTGGAAGAGTAGTGTTTTTATGAAACTGAGAGTTGTGTTGTGTGACTTGAGGTACAATGTGAGGAGATGTGGGAGTGTGTGAAGGGGTCTACTCTTCTGGGGTACTGTTGTAGGACCAGCTTGGTGCAGTCTTGTTAATGCAGCTTTTGGGGAGTGTTCTCTGGAGCTTTATTTTGGAAGGAAGGTTGGATCGCTTGCTGAGGAACGTGGGAGCAAACTAACATCTGTATAAAGTGGATTACCAGGAAATCAAGATCTGGGGATGAACTGAGTTAGCTGAAATTACAGACCTACCTGAAGAGAAAGAATGCTTCTGTTAACATCAGCTTGATTTGATTCAGCATGTTGAGGGAGATGATTCTGCCCTTCTACTCTGCTCTGGTGAGACCCCACCTGGAGTACTGCATCTAGCTCTGGGGTCCTCAGTACAGGAAAGACATTGACCTGTTGGAGTGAGTCCAGAGGAGGGCCATGAAGAAGATGAGAAGGCTGGAGGACCTCCCATATGAGGACAGGCTGAGGGAGTGGGGGTTGTTCAGCCTGGAGAAGAGAAGGCTCCAGGGAGACCCTATTGAGGCCTTTCAATACTTAAAGGAGGCTTATGAGAAAGATAGGGACAAACTTTTTAATGGGGTCTGTAGTGATAGGACAAGGGGTAATGGTTTTAAACTAAAACAGGATAGATTAAGACTAAATGAAAGGAAGAAATTTTTTACGATGAGGGTGGTGAAACACTGGAACAGGTTGCCCAGCGAGGTGGTGGGTGCCCCATTCCTGGCAACATTCAAGGTCAGGTTGGACTGCGCTCTGAGCAGCCTGATCTAGTTGGAAGATGTCCCTGCTCATTGTTGGACTAATGATCTTTGGAGATCCCTACTAACCCAAACTGTTCTATGATTCTGTGATTTATATAGCAGTCTTCCTGAATTGTGGGCTGTAGTGTCATAAATAATACTTTTTAACTCAAGCTATTGTAGTTGCTTTCTTTCCCTTTGTTGCAGCATCCCACTACATTTTGGCCTTTGCAGAGATCTATGTACTATGCTTCTATTCCTTCAGATGAGGCTGTAGTCTTAAGGATAAAAAGTCAGAAGTAATTTAGGTTTAAGTATTTTAACTCCTATATCATTTTGCTTATTTCAGGTACATGCAGAGTTTCCTTGAGCTTTTAGAATATGAAAATAAAAGTCCCGAGGATCCTCATGTTCTGGATGAGTGAGTAATTTTTGTTTTCCTGTGATGGTTCTTTTTAAAATAATCTGTCTCAAACAAGTGTTTCTGTACTATAGGGTAGGAGTGATCTTATTTGTAAGGTAGAATTTGTGCAGCAAAGGCCAAAATTGTAATCTGGAGCAGAATATAGAAATCTGAGTGCTTTTGAACAATATATTTTGCATTTATACGGTCTTCATAGTTTAAGAAACTTGATAAAATGCTTCCTTACAGGGCTGTATTGAGAAAACAGCATGTGCGTGAGAATATACTTGCCTGTCAAATACTTAGTCATTTTAGTAAATGTTGAGCTTAGTACTCTGAATGTGTTAATATACATTATATACAACAAAGTGTCAATCATTGGTTTTGTCTAAAAGATTTTTTTTAATGGGCTTCAACTATTGGTGTTCAGCTACCTCATTGAGTAATATTATGTTATGAGAAGGAAGGAATGATTAGCTAATTTTCTTTGTCAACAAAATTATTAAAACTGTCATTAGAGTGTTTCCCTGAAATTTGTATACATAAAACAGAAAAAAACCCCCACGTGTACATGAGATAAACAGGTGCAACATATGCATCAGAGGCTTAAAAAGAAAACAAAAAACCCAGCACTAAGCTCTATAGTTACCCTCTACTGTGTAGCAGACAACTTTGTTTTAGGTGATAACTTCTTGCAAGTTTTTTTTGCTCTGTTGATTAGTTTTCTTAGGGTAGCTTGTCTTTTAAACTTGAATTTCTTTTTAACCTCTGGAAGGCTTACTTGATAAAGCAGTGCTTTATAGGAAGTGTTTAAAACATCTTGAAGTCCAACAAATGCTCTGTTTGCAAGATGTGGCCTGTGCTGTGCAAAAATGGTATTCTGTCTGTAGTTTTAGATACATTAACTGTTATGTTAGGTTAGGTTAAGTAAGGGTTTTATTGGGTATTGCATTTCAGTCATTATGCTCTTTTGGTTATGGGCGTGTTATATGAGATCTTGACACTTTATTTTTAAAGTGTCAAGCAGTACATGCAGGAGAAGCTCAAGTGCACGAGTAATGAACTCCCTGCGTGGCAGAACTGTAGAAAAAGCTGTAAGAATTATAGACTGAGTTAATTGTAGTGCCATTAAGCAAGGGAAAGAAAGTACCCGTTTCCTCAGTGTGAGTCCTAAGCTGGAATACTGTCTGCAGTTCTGGGTACTACATATTAAGAAATTTAAACTCATGTGGAGAGTGTTGATGAGAAAGGAGCAAGAGTTAGAGACTGGGAGAGTTCCACCTCTGAGTAATGTTAAAGGCATTTGTTTAGACTGGCAAAAAAAGAGATTGAAGTGCAAGACACTGCGAATCTGTGCAAAAAAAGTCACTGTAGTAAAGGGTGATTGGTTGTTCTTAAGTGAAGAAGTGGAGAACTAAAAAAAGGCTGATTTTTATTCAAGTTGAGACCATATACAAGACAAAAAGTACAAATTCTACTATTGGTGAGAACAGACTGAGACTGTTTCAGAAGGCTGTAAAGTATCTCATTTTAAAACCTTTCAAGAGTAGATCAGGTAGCTTTCAGTGATGTTCTAGGCATGCTTTTTCTGTAGTGGATAAATTAGATGAACTTTTCCATTACCTTTAGCTGGTACATTTTGTGATTCTGTACTTAGAGCCTGTTTGCTGATGGGACAAGAATTTCTGTTTGTGACTAGTTTAGCGGTAAGTTTTCCTACTGCTTGACTTAAAGTCTGTTGCCTTTTGAAGATAGCATAAGCTGTTGTAGACATCTAAGTGAGACTGGCAAGTGTAACACAGGTCCTGTTAAGCCTGTAACATCTGCGATGTGCAGGTAGAGGCAAAGTGGTTATGTAGCTTCTGGTACCATCTTACATGTTCTGTATTTAGGTAACTGAACTTAATTTTTTGTAGACTTCAGAGGTTCAAGGTAAATGGCAATATATATTTAAGAAGGTTGATGGACAGTTTTCTTGGATATCTGTTTTTAGAGTGTTCATAATTATCAAATGAAACAGAAGCAGCATGAGTACAGCCAGGCACTATAGTGTCTTGTTTTGAAAATGAACATCAGATCTCAGTGGTTACAGATCACACAGAATCAAGACTTAATAAACATAAAAAGAGTCTACAAATCTTTTAAGCATTGAAGTATTTTAAGCTGTCCAGTTAACAAGATCAGTAGGTAAGAGAACGGTCATTCTGTATTGTGATAGATAGTATTTAGACTGGGGAATTAGGCAATTAAAACTCCCCCCTTTCTATGCAACAAAATAATATTGAAAGACTACTGAACTGTTTGTTAACACACAGGCAAAAACTGGTGGTTAGACTGAGGATGGTGAAAAAACTGTTAAAAATGAATCCTACCTTCCTTTGGAGCTGGCAGTGTGGAGTGGGAGAAATAATTTTTAAAGTGTATCACTTGTTAAGGGTGGTATGGTGTACTATCAACTGATTGTCTTGGCTAAGTGGTTATGAAAAGGAAGGAAGTATCTGCTTTAAATGTGGTGGCTACATGGTAGTCTTTTTTTTACTTTTGGCAGTCTTAATGTCCTTTCCCCTGCCCATGGCAGGGGGATTGGACTAGATGACCTTTTAAGGTCCCTTCCAACCCAGACTATTCTGTGATTCCTTCCTTAGCTGGTCTATATTCTACTTTTGATAAAAATAATTAATACATTTCTTTTCAGTGTTCATTATAAATCTACTGAAAATTTTTTGCAGTTGATGTTTTTTTAAAAAGGATCTGTAGAATTGCAGATATAGGCATAGCTGAACAAGTCTCTCAGCTGTGCTTTCTTTTGAAAGCTGCATTTCACAGTGTACACTTTTTTTAAACAAGATCATGTAATCATTGTGGGTTAATTTAATATTAGAGAATGTAGCAGAGTTGAGTAGTACTGATTTTTCTATGTCTAGGCTTTAGAAAGCTATTAATAATTCATATTTCAAATGTGGATGTGTTTGTATATGGGGAAAAAAAAGGATGAGCACTTTGAAGATCATAGCTGTTGAGCTGCCTTGGAAGGAAAAACAAAAATCCTCCAAGCTGTTTCAAAGTAAGTGTGTACTTGTGAACAGGTGCTTGTTAAAAGCAATGGAAGTAATATCGTGAAACTTGCTGAGCTACCACAGAGAAGAGCCTGTCAAAGCACTGTTGTATGCACTCTGCCATCCAGTGGTGTAAAAGGAAACTGAACAGAAGACACAGTGATAATAATTACCTATTCTGATATTCAAACTTATCACAATAGATGCCAGGTAAAGGAAATGCATTCAAAAGTTAATGCTGCATGGGTTGAGGTATTGGGAAGAAAGTATGGGGTGTAAAACTTCTCAAGAAATTATGAAGGGCAGTCAGGTTGCTTTTCTTGAGTTTCCAATCTTCCAGCTACTGTTGGTTGCAGAGAATGAGAGTTGCCATGGTGCATATGATTGCAATGAAAGAAAATCTTGTTGTTTTCCGTTAATGGCAAAGAGATTTAATTTAAATAAATGTTTTGGGAGGAATAACTGAATTTGAGGCCCTAAATATTTCACAGATCTCATAAGAGGTTGACCAAATATTTCTCTTTAAATAGGTTTGTTTAGGTACTACTCTATTTTTATCTTCTCTGATAACTTTTTATTGACTGGGAGAGATAGTAAACAGATAAAATGGTTATGCTATGGGGAGTTGAAAACAGAAGTGAGAGATTGAGTTTAATTTTACTTTTAACAATCTGTTTCTAATTTTGTTTCCTCTAGCTTTTTAGATGTTTTAATTAAAGTCAGGAACAGACACAATGATGTGGTTCCAACTATGGCGCAAGGGGTGATTGAATACAAGGAAAAATATGGCTTTGATCCATTTGTTAGCAGTAACATCCAGTATTTTCTAGATAGATTCTACACCAACCGCATCTCTTTCCGTATGCTTATTAACCAACACAGTAAGTAATTGCTTTTTTTGTTCTTGAACTTATTGGTTATTGCTTGTAAAACCAAAGCCATAGCTTTTTGTTTTGTTTTTCCATACTCATGACTAATTCTTAATATTCTGTGCTAATTATGGTAGAAGATATACTGGCATCTGGTTAATTTGGTGCTTTGCAGTTGTCAGAAATTAATCCAAAACACCAATACGCTTTCTTTTAGAGTTGTCAGGCTTTGTCAATGTGGCTGTCGCTTTTTAATCTTTTTTTGTCAGAGACAGCTTGCATAGTGATATATGAAGTATCTTTAGATAGTAGTAGAATACTTGTATCTTTCTGCTTACAAATATCAACATAGATTGTCGAGCTGACATTTATTTCATAATGAAATGCAAGGATGCCATAAATTTTGAGTAAGTTATGCACTATATATATTATTATTTCAGCAAGTTATCTAGACTTTCTTACCTTCTAAAGAGGTTGAGTATTCCTAACTTAAGTTGTAAATTATCCCTTGTCTCCCTCTACTTCCTGTTTCCTATTTATGAATAAATGCTAGAATTAGTCCTTTGTCATTAGGCTCTGTTTCCTCTGTTACTAAGAAACTTACTTTTTAATATTTGTATTACAGAGTGCAGGGAGTTACTTGCACAGCTCCTATTAACCACTGTGTGCCACCATGCAGAAAGTGATCTATATGAAGTTAAAGACAGTCATGTGATCTTCTTTTTTAGTGTATCTTGTGCCTTTTAGTTCTAGAGCTTCATTCTCTGCCCGGTATTCTGCTTTTATGAGCTTTTAGAAATTGTCATATGTTGCAGATAATGTGTATGCTAGAGTACTGTAGTGTAAGGTATTTTACTACAATTTGTGTGTCTTTCCAGTAACCCTTTATGTGACTAAAAATGCCTTGCTGTGTTTGTACAAGTAATTTTAAAGTGGCAAAGAATACAGAATGAGATGAATGTGCAGCTTATTCTTTACCTGTACCTGGGCAGACAAATGAGAGACACCAACCCAAGTTAAGTTAAAAGGCTCTCATAGAAGAGTTCTGGTAATACGTAAAAACATGGTCCTAATAGAATTATTGGGGCAAGTGGTGGCATAATTTGCACTAGTTCTCAAATATTACTTATTTAATTGAACTGAAATGGCTTTTCCTATGGTCACTCTTATTTAACTTATTGAAACTTAAAACCACATATAGATGCTTAAAGTTTAGTTCATCTTGTACAGTACCTCTATGGTAGGCAATGCTACTGATCCATCTTTGATGTCTAATATTAATCTTGAAGCATTGTTGAAAAAGACAATTGGAAAGCAGAATGGAGAAACAGGTTTTTATGTAGTTTGCATTTGTTTCATATGTTTTTGACAGACTATTTCTTACAGTGCAGTTCTACAAGGTACAGCATGCCATTCTACTAGCTCAGCATGACTGGAATAGGAAAAGCTTTCATATCTTGTTTTGCTCACCTCATACCGCATCTGTTTCATATCAGAGCCGACTAACTTGCTAAAATAGCAGAAAATAATTTCTGCAAAAAAGTGTAAAATGTTTCTACTTCTTTGAGAGCTAAACTCTTGGTGAACGATCTGGTGAGTGCCAGACCCTTGTGCAAAGGGAGGTAGGAAGCATACTGCTCGGAGCAAGGGAGAAGGTTGAGTGAGTGAGACTTTTGTGCCACCTGTGAAATTGCAGCTTAAGTGAGTGTAAAAGGGTTTTTATGATGTCTTAGTTCTCAGTCCTTTTTACTATAATATTTTCACTGTTGTGAGTGCTTCTGTTCTGACATAATGGTGTAAATGAAGCATTTTACATTTTAGCATTATCTAATTTTTGATAGTCCACTTTGAAATGTGGGTTTTCACCTTAAAAAGGGGAAAAAAAGAGGAGAAATCCTAAACAAGGATTCTGGCAATTTGCTGGAGTATCTTTTTACAAAATGATGCAGTATACAGTAGGTTTCAGATACCACCAGATTTAAACTTTCTGGGTTACCTCAAGCATAATAGATAATTTACTGCCACTTCTTTTTCCTTTTAGCACTTCTTTTTGGCGGAGATATTAATCCTGCTCATCCCAAGCATATTGGAAGCATTGATCCTAATTGTGATGTGGCAGAGGTGGTTAAAGGTAAGATGAAGTTAATATTTTTGTTGATTTTAAAAACCACCACAACTTAGAATGTGCATGGATATGTTACTGAGATATAAGAGACTGAAGGTGATTTAAGTTAATTTAATAAAAACTAAGAAATGGAAGTTCTGCTGCTGCTTACAATAAAGCCATGGGCTTATTGAGACTTTCTAATGTCTTAGTTATTAGGAATAGAGAGAGTTTTGGTATGTTAACAGAACTAAGAAAGCAGTTGAATTTTTTCATAACTTCAACTGTCCTTTAAAAGGTCATATTAAGTGTGTGTTTTGCTAAACTTTAGACATTTTATTCCCTAAAAATCTTAGAAGCAGGTTCTCATGTACTGCTTTTTTATCTGATGCTGGTACTCAAGAAAATTGCAAGTGAAATTTGCCAATTTGTTTAGTTAGGCCTTTCAGTAAAACGTCCTCAGGTGTACAGATACTCCAGTGAAGCTTGCTATTACTATGTGCATCTGATCATATCACATCCTGCTCTTTCTTATAGAGAAGATACATACGTAATGGTTGTATCTGAATGATAGGTCACAGTCGCATTAGAAATCCTTTTTGCTTAATAAACCCTGTTTACTTAGTGTTGTGAATGTTCATATGCTTTCATCTTGTTAGTTGAAGGCTCACACTCTGGGTGTATCTATTTACAAACACAGGTCTTGCTGTAGAAATGAATTCCACTCTCTGTCCTTCACTGCTATTTGTGCAGCTGCAAGAGGGGAAGAATGTGTTCCTCCCCTTCCCTTTCTTTGAGCCTTTGGTGAACTAAGAGGGAAACCTTTTTTACGTCAGACTTTGACCTGCATGATAACTTGCTTTGTGTTGTAGATGCTTTTTACTGTTATGAAGGCTTCTTGACTTGTAGGTCTTCTTGACTCTAAGGTGGCCTTTTTTCAGCAGCTTTCTTTAGGTTGATCCTACTCCACTTTGACCTCAGTATTGTATATGTTAGTCATGTTGTTTGTTTAGATACTCCTTCTAATAGCAATGTTTGAATCTGTTTTGATCATCAAATTCATAGTTGCTGTGTTGGACAGAGGAGTGCATAGTGCAGAAGGTGCTTAGTCCAGTTTTCAAGCCAGTAGCTAAAGCAGATCTTCTACATCTGAAGAAATATTCACTAACAAAATGAGGACATCATGAACAGTATCCAGTGTTGTCCTTCAAATAAACAAGATATCCTTAAAAACAGCATATCTAGAGTCAAGGTTATTGAGGCCATATCCTTGTAGAACTGGTGGAGGGGTTGATTTACATTCTGTATACTGTGCTAGCTCAAAAATCTTATGGTTCACAGGCAGCATTCTGAGCAATTTGTCAGAGTTAAGATGCTGATTTTGTCACTCTGTGGCAGCTATGAGTTCAGTATGCCCTTTGGACATTGAAGAAATTATTTAAACAGCTGCTGCTTATTTCAAGCAGCTCCACCAAGTGTTGTGTCTGTAACTGCCTGAGGTGGATCTCTGTATCTCACTGACTGTCCTACAATAAGATTTCTGAGCTGACAGCAAATCCAGGCTTGTTCCTGGAGCCTGAATTTTAGATGTACTAATAGATCCCTCACTCTTGTTGCTACTTATCTCCAGCCATGGATGTGAAGCACACTTTGAACTTTGCAGTCTCTTTTACAGTCTTGGGACTCTGCCAAAGAATTGGTGTTTAGGGGATGGTAAAATGTCAGACTGCCTTCAGACTCTGACACAGTTCTGCTTAGGGCTGGGTATTTTACTGGATTGTCAAGAGATAGTGCTCTCCCGTTCATCTCAAGGGTGTTAAGGTGGCTACTTCTTGAAAATGGATGAAAATTCTACTTTAAATTTAGGGAGGCTAAATGGATTTATTCAGAGCTTCTTTGTTCTCAAGTTTTGCATGGTGGCTGTGTCTGCTCCACATCCATGTGTCAAGGACTTTTGGTTTATTCCTGCAGTTACTGATTTGTTTTTTAGAGGCCTTGAGGTTTTTCTCTGCAATAGGAATCCAACTTCTGTCCCCTGGATCTTTATCTAACTTTCACTTCTGTGATATGGAAACTCTTTGAAATGTGCTTATGTTTTCCTTCCTCCATGTAGGTGGCCTTATGGTCACACTAGCTACATGGCTATCCCGCTTTTGATTACTGAGTCAAGATTGTGACTGTGCTTCTTATGCCTCTTTTTTTTTTAAAGCACAGAACTTCTGATGGCCTTGGGAGTACTCCTGAGATTATTTTAGAATATCATCTAAGTGTAGATGTTCCTGCATATTTTTTTTTCCTAAATTATGTGCATCACAGGCTGAGGTTCTCTGCACAGCTTGGGTGTTCAATGGGATTTTGATCTTTTTACTAGGACATATTTTATTGTGTTAGTGACAGGACCCTTTTAGTCTTTGGAACTGACCATCTTGACACAAAAGATTCCTTCTGGAGAGCTGGTTTTGTGAGCCGTTCCTGGGACATGATCAAGAACATTTCTAGTGTTGATTAGCTCCTTTTTACTAAACCTCAAAGAGTATTTGTCAGCCTTGTGTGATATGTCCAACCTTGCAGATGTCAGAACAACTGATAGAAATTTTTTTCAGATAACAGGGTGCATTATAGATTATTTCTGTAGACATCTTGAAGGAGGACAATTGTAGGTAACCAGCCCTCTCTGGGAAGCAGTGATTTTACTTTCTTTGTGCTTGTCGCATAGCTCTGAGTCTTGGCAGTGACTGTTTTCTTTAGTAGTGTCGATTTGGACAGGAGAAGGAGGTACATGTAGGGCAAGGTCAAATGCTATTGGTATGGTACCTTAGCAAAGTTATCTCTGTCTGCAGAACTGCCCATCTGTTATGTACTTGCTCTGAGCTCATGCTTATTATGAGGAAGCCTCTTTTCATTAAGGTAGCTTAAGCAATGTAGTTAGAACGTGTTTGAGTTTGTAGTTTCTCTTGAAGCTAATACTTGCTGCTTGTTTCTAAAATATTTTTGTGAATGAGGTACCAGTGAATATTTAGAACCACTAAGAAATCTTTCAAACAAAAGCTAAGTGTTCTCGCTTTATTTTGACAATACACAAAGCCTGATTTTGGATTATGGGGAGGCAGGGTTTTTTTTGTTTTAGTAGAGGAAAGAATGAAGAGTCTTAAAGATTACAGCTTTCCCCCCAAAAGACTGTGAAAATCAAGGATTATAAACAGTATTGTGTTTGGAAAAACTGAATTTATGGTTGCAATGTCATCCCTTTTTATTTGAGATGGAAAGAACAAGCATTACATTGTGATCGGGACATGACAAATAAGTAGATATTATGGTCAGCCTAAAATTATACCCTTCTGGTTTCAAGCCCTGAAGACAAAAAATAGCTTGTCTCTAGTAATCTGCTTTTGTAGGGGTTTAAATAGAATTTGCCCTTTCTTGACAAATGGACTATAAGCATACAGAGAAAAAGGGATTAGAATGGATACCAGCTTCACACTTGTAAACTAGCTACTAAAATGAGTGTTCTGCTTGTAGTCTTTTACATACAGGATGAACTTTGCTAGTCATCTCTAGATGATTTTCATAAATCAGTGTTCTGTTCTGTTGTTCTATAGATGCTTATGAAACAGCTAAGATGTTATGTGAGCAGTACTATACGGTGGCACCTGATCTGGAAGTTGAAGAATTCAATGGTAATTCTGAAATTAATTAAATTTAAGTGGTGTATGTAAGAAAAAGCATTTCTAATATCTGCGATTTTTAGTTTTGTTAATAAATTATAAGTTCAAATTTGAACTCTGCAGTACTGTATGCAGAGCTGCTTTTCTTCTAATGTGTTTACATGCGCGCCGGAATTATAGTTTATCATCATGAGATGTTTACTTGAAGCTGAATGCAGAGTGCTGTCTGCTGAATTCACTGTCACTTTAAGGAAAATAAAGTGGTCAAGAATCCTTGTAACTAGGAAGGAAACACACCTGCCTTCCAACTAATCTTTTAATAGAGCTGAAACTTGTTTCATTTTGAAGTATGCTTTTAAATTCCGTTGTCAGGCTCTGCACCAGTGATGGGCTCTCCTGTGTGAGATGGCAAAATTAGAATTTTTTTTTTTTACATAGTGTATGCTTTAAGTCCTGTCATAACCTTCTCACATGAAAATCTGTTACAAGTTGATTGCAAAGGTGAAAATTGGATGCTATGGAACTGATGAGACAGTCCTTGTCATTATATTGACTGAGCTTTGTTCATAATTTCTATTGACAAAAGGCAGATTATTTTTTCAAGTTAAAAAAATTGTTTTGAGTGATCCTCTCACAAATTTTGGTTAGCTATCCAAACATAAGACTAAGATGTTTCCAAACTTCAGCAGAATTGGAAGTGTCTCAAAATTGGTAACACTCAAAATGGAGAGAGTGATATATGGGAACACATGTTGCTCAAAGTACTGTTTAATATTATAGAAATACTTCTCTACACAAAGTGATATTGTCAACACTAATGCATTACTACCAGTTCCGTCTCCCCAAACCAAATGATCCAACTTTCTCTCCTCCAAAACTGAGTTATTTTAGAGCTAAAAGTAGTGAATACTTCAGCTGAGGAATCGATGCAAAATTAATTTGAAGATCCAAGTAGAAAGAACCAACTTGTAGAGAAAACAAGTTCCTGGATCTCATTAAAAAAGAAATGAGGAAAGAATTACTTGTTTCCTTTAAACTAGCTGTTGTCTACATGAAGGAAGTGACTTTGCAAATTACCTCACAAGAGCAACAATTATGTGTTTTCTGTGTGTACTCTATGCCTCAGACAAGTACAAATCAGTCTGCCTTGGTTTTGATGATGCATAAGAGAATTGGAGTATGGACTCTGACAAAATTAACATAATAAAACAGCAAGTTGCCTTGCAACTAATTATGCAGAGCATTGTTTTAGTCTTCTTTTCCTAGGAGTTTTGACTACTGTGTCTCTTAAAGTACTAACTGGTGTTATTATGAGCCCTCAAGTGCCAAACAGGATGAACTCGACCTCAGTCACTTTCTGGGTGCATGTTTGTATCTTCCTGCAATTTATGAAGCAGACTTTCAGAGACTTTTCTTCAATCTGAGCTGCCGCTGAGTCTAACAAGGTGTGACTGTATGCCAGTAGATAGGTGAATGTTCAGGGATGACTGCATCTTCAGTACCAAAACTCTCCTGGAATGTATTAAATGCAGCTGTATTATTTCCTGCCAAATCAGTTAGCACTCTAGCATTCAGAGCTGTGCCAAGCTGTATAAGTCTGCCAAAACACTAACAACAGGACAACAGTGGACAAACAATTCAATTATAATTTGTAATAAGAAAACTGTGATATTGTTTGAAATATATTTTGAATTTTTTTATGCATACTTTACATTTCATATGTTTTAATTAGGGGAAGATACGTCACTGTTTTTAGAATATTTGAACAGTGAATCTTTTTAGTTTAAGAATCTTTTTGTGCAGCAAATATTATGCTTAAATATTGTGTATGTTAAGAAAAAAAGGAAGTTTCCCACTTAAATGGGAAAGTTCTCTCAGTTAACATGCATTGTCAGTATGAAACCAACCACTGCTTATTGAAGTTCAATATGTAAATAAAGTCTGCTGATATAGAGGTCTTTGAAAATAATCATTAGAATGTGTTCTTTCAGGTGACAGCAGTAACTGAAATTTGTGTTTACTTCGTGTAGCTACCTTGCACTTGGAAAGTTAGAACCTGCTTACATACTTGTCTTTGCCTGCAGTTTCATGTTATTTCTGTAAATAGAAATGTTATAAAACACTGTTTTGAAAAAAACTTTTCATTTTTTTTTTAGCTAAAGCTCCAAACAAGCCTATTCAAGTAGTCTATGTACCTTCTCATTTGTTTCATATGTTGTTTGAATTATTCAAGGTAGGTTGCACTTCTTAATATTTGTAAGGGTTTTGTGAACTTACTGTTGAAATTTAGTTTCTTTTCAGTTACAGCTCTTAAATTTATTTCAGTTTTTCTTTCTTACACTTAAACAAGTGAAGAGAGTTTGAAACTGTTAAAAGCTAGGCTTACAGCCCTCTCTTACGCCCTTGTGTACTTAAAAAAATTTGTTTTCCCACTTTTTCTTATGTGTTTTTGCAGATGATTAACTTAAAACATTCAGTCTATTTTTGCAATAATTATGTATTCATTACCTTGCAATTTTCATAAGCTTGCTTCTCTGTCGATATTTGAGGACTGGTTAGGATCAGTGTCTTGTTTATTGTGGAAACAGCCCATATGTCTTTGAATAGTGTAAATGACATTCTTTGTTTTGTTTTTATTTGTTTTCTGAATAATTGTAACAGTGAAAATGGAACATGAGAGCTATTGTAGGCATAAGATAGGTGGTCTCTAGGTGGTGCAATTGAATACTAGAAATTCAGGAGGGAAAATGCATTTGGTCAGAAAGTTTTCCTAAGTAATGGTATTTTGGGTTTGATTTCTGACACTTGTCAAGCATGTTCATTTAAATCTTCCTCTATTTTGCTGTTTGTAACATTAGTTCTAGGGCAGAACAGGTGAGAATTTGTACACTACTTGTAGTTACAAGTTGTGAAACGGTTTGAAGCCAGTGAGTTGTAGCTGTAAGTAATGGTCAACTGTGATGGAGTTGCAGTGGAAACTGTTAATAGATATGATAAAGTCAGATTGATAGATGGTAACTTAACAATTATGTCACCCAGGCTGAGAAAGTCAAAGCTCGTTCTAACACCATTATTGGTGGTTCTGCAAGGTGGAGGTGAAGGATGTTATCTCTTATATAAAATTACTTGATTTCACACAGAAAAAGGAAGAAATCTTGCTTTGTGTTTTCTGACTCTAATCAAATAGATGAAAGTATACATAATGGAGTTCTGATGTAAAAGTTTAACTGGACAACTCATTGACTTGAAAGCACTTCTTGCATTTGTTTTCATTGTGACCTTTTCTGTCTTGTGTACAAATGTAGGACAAAGGATCTAGATTCAACAAAGTAATGCAAGTTCTAAGTTGTCACAAAAAGCATTATAGTAAAGTTAGAATCAAAGACACTTTTTTTTAATTTTCAGAATTCAATGAGAGCTACAGTAGAATTGCATGAAGGTAAGAGAGAAAGCTATCCATCGATCAAAACCTTAGTCACTTTGGGGAAAGAAGATCTATCTATTAAGGTAACTGCCTAAAAATAATATGACACTCACAAACCTGCTAGGTTTAGAATAGTATGACTTGTAATGTGAAAAGGCAAATTAACTACTGTATCATTTCTGAGACTGGCTTCATATTTGTCAGAACAGAATATTTCAGTTGGAAGGGACCTACAAGGATCGTCTGGTCGAACTGCCTGACCACTTCAGGGCTGACCAGAAGTTACAGCATGTTTATTAAGGGCATTGTCCAAATGCTTCTTAAATACTGACAGGCATGGGGCATCAACCACCTCTTTAGGAAGCCTGTTCCAGTGTTTAAGCACCCTCTTGGTAAAGAAATGCTTCCTCATGTCAAGTCTGAACCTCCCCTGGCACAGCTTTAAATTGTTCCCACATGTCCTGTCACTGGATACCAGGGAGAAAAGATCAGCACCTTGCTCTGCCCTTCCCCTCAGGAAGTTGTAGAGAGCAATGAGGTTACTGCTTAGCCTCTTTTTTTTCCAAAGCAGACAAACCAAAAGTCCTTAGCCTCTCCTTTAGTATTTCTGAAGTTATTTAGATAATGTTGCTTCAGTTTTGCAGGTTTTTTTCAGAACATAATGTTTAAAACTGTAACTTTTCATTTCTTAGATAAGCGATCAAGGTGGAGGTGTACCTTTGAGAAAAATAGACAGATTGTTTAACTACATGTACTCGACAGCACCCAGGCCTAGTTTGGAGCCCTCGAGAGCTGTGCCTTTGGTAAGCAATTGCAATATGTATTTAAATGTCACTTTGCACTGCTCGTATGTTTTGCTTCACTGCAGTCTACTGGATCGGGTTTTCCATTTAATAAATTGTTTATCATTAGCAATTCTGTGCAGGTAAAACACATCAGGAGAAAATGGGGGCTGTTATCATCACTTAGTCTTTGGAACAGAAAATTGCTTTTCTTTGTCTTGACATTATATTCTTTCAAACGAGCATATCTGCATAAGCATCATATTTTCACAGGTTAACGGACAGGATTTTTAGTGCTCTATTACTGAGAAGTTGGATAACCTAATGAGCTCCCAGTTGATGTGTAAATTACTGTTTATCTAAGTTTCCTGTAATACATGTATTGGCAAGGTGAACCACACTGTCAGAATTATAGCACTTGACAAACACCTCCTGGTAATGCACAAGCTTATATTGAACTTTGAAAATTATTTTACTGTAAATTATGGACTGTAAAAAAACATGTTTTTTAAAAAAAATTCCCAAACCTGCATGTCATATGAACACTCCTGGTATATTCCTTTTCAGCTGGAGATACCTTGCATGATATTACCTTCTGAGAAGTATCAGGGCCTGATTGCAAACAAACAGAATTTCCCCATAGTTTCTTCTAAGCAGGGAATTACTTTAGTGTTGAATGTAGAGATTCTTTTAACAAGGATAATTTTTTAAATTATTTAAATTTTAATAAGTTACATATTGGGTCATTGATTAAAATCATACAGCTACTGTTCCATTAGACTGACTTTTGGTAAGTGGATTAGTACACATACTGTATTCTTGCTTCTTCTCAGCTTTGTTCTCTGTTGCTTCTGATGCGATCCTTTATCTTTAAGCATGTCAACAAAAAGTTGATTCTTTGAGAAATTTATTTTCCCTATTTAGGAACACTGTCAGCTAGCATGTTCCTAAGTTTTTTTTTTCCTCTTTTTTTTCTTCTGATACTCCTCTGCTTGAACTGCCTTTAGGTAGCCCATAAAATGTGGTGCAGAGAGTATGTGACTGTTTCTGATATAACGTAATGAACAGTGAACTGAGGATGGAACCAGTTCAGAGTGGCTCAGAGATAATAAATTTCCCATTAGATTTTTAGCAAAAAGTCTTTATGTTGCTGTCTCAGGCCACAATTTGTAGCATTGTGGCACGGAAGTGTATTTAATTGTTTTCACCAGTGTTTGATGCCACCATGATAGGTGTAAAACCCAGTTGTGTATCTGCATTGTCTTGATACTAGTCCTTCACAGCTCCTAACTCTGCAACACATCTTAGTAATATGTTTCAAACAAAGATGTGTCTTTTTCTTAGAAAATCTTCTTGAATTTGAGTGGTAAGGAACAGGCCTTAATTCAAATACAAGCTTTTTCTTTGCCAGTTGTAGAATCTTTCTTGATTCTGCCTTTGTTCTGTCTCACTTTTGATCAGCAATTTACTATATCAGCCTACAAAGATTTCCTGAAACTTGTTCTCTGTATAAACTTATACCTTGATTACCAGTTGCATTCACTATTAAAATTTATCTTCCTTTGTGGCGCTCTGATTGCAAAACATGTTCAGTTTAGGACTGATGCTCTTCTTTTCCTTTTTTTTCCACATGCATTTTTAACAATATATTCCTGTGTTTATTTCCCCATCTTCAAGACTCCTTGCTTTCATTCTGTGGCATTTATACTTAGTTTTCTTCTACTGCACCCCATCTTCGGCCTTTGTTTACTCTTTGAGTCCATATGTTGCTATAGTCAGACCTGCAAAGTATCTCCCCCTGTTGTGAACCTTGCAGCTTTCGCCCTGTGAGTCTGACCAATGCCTGTATATGACTGAATGTCAAGAAGAGTTGTTAAGCTCTGTTACTTATATGTGTGTGCAGAAAGAAAAAAGTCAAGAACTGAAAGTCTATGGCATATCTTTCCGCTAAAAAGAAAAAGGACTTCAGCAGAGAATCTTAACACGTGTTATGTATTATGGCCCAGATCTTGTTATAAAAAGTCATGCTATACTTTGTTTGTCAGTCTAGAAATAAAAATCCTTCAGCAGAAAGGTTCCACATAATTCTTCTCAGAAGGAAATTTTCTTTATTGCTTAGTGCCAGAGACCAAACCCCTTAAGAATTATGATGCTCCAGGAGGTGGGTAGGTCTCTGCTTGTGTCATTCTTGACTTAGATAGTATTCGTAAACTAAATTGCAGTGCAGATCCCCTGTCTAGTTTATGAAACAGTCATGAACTCTGGGGAGTGGAAGAGAGGGATCTTTTTGTGGATTGGTGAAAATTTTTTTCTTGGTGTCATTGCAAATGTTATTTTAAAAACTGCTGAGAAACCTTGTTACCATGGCAGCATTCAGATTCTAGCAGGACTTAGGCTCTTCTGTACTACTATACACAAAGTAGAAACGTTAGAAACGCATGGTAATGTTTAATGATGATTAGGTTTTCTTAGAGAATTTACTGATTCTCTGTGGCAGCATTTGTTTATAGTAGGAGAAATGTGGCTTAAATTAGGTTGAATATTAAACCTGTAGACGTTAGTAACACAGAAATGTAATAACTTCCTTTTTGGATAATGCATACCGCAATATTTAATGAGAAATCGGCTCTAAAATGCTTTCTTTTCTCAAGGCAGATGTGCCATCATTGATTATATTCTGTCCTCTAGATCAAGCACAGACCTATGTAGCAATCAATTCTTGTTGACTGTATTTTGCAAAATAGAACTTCTGCAAGGTCTTGCCTTAACAAGGTACTCATCTGGGATCTGTTGTCTTCATATTTCTTAAGTTATCTCTTTTTGGAAAATACCCTGAAAACAATGTAGAAAAGGGAATGGCAGGAAATTTTGGAAGAGGGAAGTATGAAATAATTATGTGGGCTCGCACAGAGTATAAAAAGATTTTCCTGGAGGAACAGGAAGCAAACAGAAGTTGGGCACGGGTTTTAAGGAAGGAGGAGAGTATGTAAGAGAGAAGAGTATAATGCTTTCAGGATTGCTTGATGCCATTCTGTACTTGAGCTGTTCCTGAGGGTATGTACTATCTACAATTTGCCTTTCAGTTGCTGTGCTTTTTAATTTCTGAAATATATTTGTTGTCTGGTCTCCAGAAAAGATGCAAGCCAGGTTTTGGATTTTTTTTAAATTTCTTTCAAAAACAGTTAAATAACTTCCATTTTTAGACATTAAGAAAGAAATGCATCTAGTTTCAAGACCAGATATTTGTAAGTGATGCATGTGTCTCTGATGGGGAGTCTTTGAGAATTATGTTTTTAAAGCATACCATGGTTTGAAGAAGTGCAGCTAAGCAACTATTTTAACTGTGGAAATGGACACTAGTAACTATGACAAGTGGTCTGAGTAGAAAAGGACATTTTTGGCATATCTCTTTCTCATTTTGCTCAGAACTGTTACAGTCATCAGTGTGAGCAGCTGTAACCAATTTTAGATCACTAAAATTAGAGCTCTGTAGAAACAAGGCAAAGAGGTCAAAAGATACTGTAGGGACAGCAGATGACAGCAAAATAATTTGTGATGAATACTGTAGTACAAAGTTCTTTTAATGTTCACCCTTCCCTGAAGGGATTTCCTATGAAGTGATACTGCATATTATCTGTATGAAATGCTTGCAAGTCCTGCTTCTTAGCCTTCCCTTTTCTGTATCATTTTGAGGCTTTGCTTTTAAGTTTCAGGCATGAGGATAAGTATCTGTCAGGTTGCCTTTGTAGAAATACTATAATGGAATGCATTTATTGATTTTCTGAAAACATTAGGTGGCTAGTTCTTGTAATCCATGTTTATGGAAAACTTTTATCACTCCATTGCTGTATGTATCCTTATTTCAAATGCTTGTATGTCTGGAATCCTTCCCTTATTGCTCTGGATAGTCCTGAAAAATTCAGGGGGAGTTCACGTGAATAATCAACCCCTGTGATTCTCAGCACATACCCAATCATCTGAAAGAGATGATGTGTAGACCAAAATCTTACTCCCTGGCTGCAGTGAGGCAGGCTTGGAGTTTTTATAACTTTTTCTGACAAGAATGGGTAGGAAAACATGCCAAGTGTTGACTTTGTTGCAGATATGGTTATGAATATTAGTGTTGGAAAATTAAAATCCAGAATTTGTACCTGAAAAGTCTATTGTGCTTTGAAAATTGTGTGGCCTGTACAGGGTCTTAGTCCTCAGATGATTCAGTGTTGTGGAATCCCGATCTTTTGTTAGATGGGTAAACAGCAGTGAGAATTACTTGCCTTGCATTGCTTTGTATATTTTCTTCTGCAGGAGCTTTTTTTCCCTCTATTGCAGTATGGCACCAGCAATCCGTTAATAGTGCAACCTAGATGAAGTAAACAGAGTTGTCTCTGGCTTTCTTGTGGAGACACTTGGGAATAATAATCCCATTTTTGGGGGTGTTGGTTTGCTTTGATCATTGGAGGCAGCATGTACAGTATGTTACACCTAGGTGCCTCTTTGAGAAAATGCAAAGTACAAGATAGTCCTAACAAAGGACTCTGATATATTTTTCACTTTTCTGTACTTAAGCTAAAAAAATTGTGCCTTGGAACAAAGGAGGTTGCTGAAACAGTTGAACACCAACTTTTAGTGCAGGCTCAGTTATAAGGGAAAACTTGAAGAGTAATTTGATGCAAATCTAACATTTAGGTATCTTCTGATTTATAAATTAATGAAGTCATTTGTTGTGTTTTTCTTTAACTTTCCATCATGTTTTTCCTTTTGTTTTCTTGGTTTTGTAGGCTGGATTTGGCTATGGCTTGCCAATTTCCCGTCTGTACGCTAGGTACTTTCAAGGTGACCTTAAACTCTACTCAATGGAAGGTGTTGGTTCGGATGCTGTAATTTATTTGAAGGTATGAATTTGACCCTTTTATAAGCTAGTAATGCAGTGCAATTCAATAACGTATAGCAGGCTGAATAAGTGAAATTTCTTTTCACTCTTCAACCTGTTTTCAAGTTTGTAATTGCTATCTTCATTATATTTTATCTAAATCACTTACACAGAATCCTAAAAGCAGAAGTTATAAATGTTAACCTAGCTCTAGTGAGCTTGCTTTTTTTGCCCAGTCCTCTTTGTTGGATCTTTGCATTTTGTTAATCTGTTAAGTGCTGAATTTTCAAAGAATTGTGTCATGAGAGATAATTTTGGTTATTCTGAAAGTTTTTTTGACCAAAATAAAGCTGAGAAGACTGATTCTTGGCTAGTACTTTTTTTTCTCTATGCAGTTTTTGACTTTTGTGCAATAGACTGTATTGATCCTGTTGTCATTTTTTGGGAGATTCTAGGCTACTCAGCGACTTAAGGTTGAAACTAGCTCCTAGGATTTCATCAGGGCATTTAAAAGAACATAGTGTATAGCTCATGTGCAGGTCATTGACTTAGCATTGTTGCTGTGCCTTGCTATGTCACGAGTGAGTTGTGGAATCCTGTGCTAACTTTTGTTTCTGATGGGTTTAATCCTGTGCATGTACGTTTGGAGGAAAAGGTATGGCCTCAGACGAAAAAGGCACACTAACGGACTGAACTAGATCAGTCCTCACAGATCAGTGTGCTGAAAGAGTCCAAGGTTTTTGGAGAAGTGAAATGTTTAAAGTAGCTGTCTGCTCCATGTCAATGGCAAATCTCCCTAAAATGTTTTTGACCAAAACCTTTTCTCTTGCTCTCTCTGTAGACCCCACTCCCTGGAAAGAAGGGAAATATTTTCAAGTGTCATTATTTTCTTTTAACTTTGACTATGGCTAGTACTTTGACTATGACTAGTACTTTGACTATGACTAGAGCAATTAGTCACAGCTGAAGTATTTTCAAAATAGTATTGTGACATGTAACGCTTGGATAATTGAGATACTTGTTTGATACAGAAGCTGTAACTGTAGAACCGGCCAGAGTATCATCTTGCTCTTGGTATCTCTAATGATATTTTACCATTGCTTTTGTTTTTCCATAGGCCCTTTCAAGTGAATCATTTGAAAGACTTCCTGTTTTTAATAAATCAGCGTGGCGACACTACAAGACCACACCTGAAGCAGATGACTGGAGCAATCCTAGCAGTGAACCAAGGGATGCTTCTAAATATAAAGCTAATCGATAATTTGCCACCTTTTGTCTCTGTTGGAGATGACCTCTGCATTCAGTATCAAGTCTCTGCTTTGTTCCAAAATCCTTTAAACCACAATACCTAATTACTTCCAAACAAAGACCTAATCAGGGCATTGAAAAGTAGTAAGAACAAAGTGATGATTGGGACTTAAAGGCAGGCACTAAGCGCGTTTGGTATGTGAATCCGGTCTGCTTCACCAGAATATGCTGGGTTGCTTCAGTCATGCATTGACAGAAGGGGGATTGCACTGTGATTGCACTTAAGAATACAGTCTTGTAACAAAAAGATGCTATTTCAAATGGCCAATTTTTATTCCAATATAAGGAATGGCAAGATGTGCAGAATCCCTTCAAATGGTCAATAGTATCTTGCACAGTAATATGGTATAAGAGAAGAAGTCTAATGTAGTTAAACATATGCTTTGAAAATCCACTCTTTGCTGCATCTGATATTGCAGTGTCACCTGTTAAGAGAAAATCCCTTTGAGCTCTTCAGATCTTGTATCTAATGAGCTTATAAATGCATAGTTCTAAAAAGGGTTGTGCAGCTTTAAACTGATGCTTTCCCCAAATTCCCAAATCCATTTCTCAAGTGCATACAAAAATTACATTGTTATAAGACATTGGGACTTCCACTTCTTGGTATGCACCTTAATGGTTTTCTTGACACACAAACACAGGAACACATTTCTATAAATTTTTCCTTGTTCGGAAGAAAGATCATAAGTAGTTAGATCATCCCTCCATACAATAAATTCTGTCAATACAGGGACAGGGGGTAATTCAATTTCATGTTTGTCTGTCATTTTTTAGGAGTTGGGGAGGGGAAACAGATGCTGAAAGGCCAGAGAGCCAGTCATACAAATGAATTTGCCTTAATGTTGGTTGCTTGGAACCGGATTAGTTTAAAACTTGTAAATAGTTTGCAAAGTTATTTATATATTCCGTGTCTGACTATAGTCTGGTAATCTGAATTTGTAGTGTATATAAAGATGTTGTACACACCAGCTTTTGGAAAGTGTCATTGGTCTGAATACATGAAACTGGAAATATCATAGAAATGGGAGGGAGAAAACATAGCTAGTACTTGATTCAAGGGGGGAAAAAAGAGGAAAAAAAAAAGTATTTTCCCCTTAAATTTATTGTAGGGGTTATTGCTGACTATTAGGAAACTGTTGTTCACCAGTTCTTTGCCAAATACTGTTTCTGATACTATGGCCTTTCAGAAGAATTTGTGAAGTTTAGAAGTTCTGTTGATATCCATCCTAGCTATGAGAATAAAATAGATGAGTTTTAAGCAACTCTGATGCACCCTCAGTTTCTCTTAAGTGTGTTGGTATTTTTTGAAAGATATTGCAGATTTTAGCTTGGAAAAATGGAACTTGTTTACTAAAATTGTGGGGGGAGCTGTCCCTTTTGTCCTCCCAATATTTATTTTTGTAAAGAACTGATCTGTTAGGTAAAGAGGGAAATGCTGAGAAGTTCCTAGATATTAAAAAAAAAAAAATCTTAGTTTGACTTAATGACAGTACTTTGCACTTACATAGCACATTTCATCAAAGGATTATGAAGTGCTTTAGCAATAAGCTTCATATAGCCTCATTTCTGAAGAGTTGGAGTCCTTACCTTGCAAACCCTTACTCTTATCTGTTGCAGTCGGTTCAAGAATTTATATGTGAATAGTTCATGAGTTTGCAGGGCTTGTGGTTCTGTGGTCTTCTCTACGCTGTGCGGATAGGTGACGTGGGAGCACCAGGTTGTTTTAGCGTGCTCCCATACATGTCTCTGCGGAGTGCCGCTGTACTGTTCAGAGGCAGAGATACCAGGACAGCTGCTGAAGACTGCCTGACCTGCTCACTGGTAAGCGGTGCCCTTCTGAGCCCCCTGTGCCAGCAGGTAAGAAGAGAGAGGGTGCAGATGGAGCCATCCTGTTCTGTTCCTGAACTGGACTTGTTTGACCCAGGCTAGAGGGGATCTTTACATGGCATGGTAAGGGTGTTAACACGTGTGGCTTCCAGAGCAATAATTTCCCCCTACTGCAGGTGCTGCTGCAGGGAAGGCAAATTGCTATTCAAGCAATACAGCTGTGCTGCTGGGGTGAAATCAGAGTAATAGTTTGACTGAAACAGCAGTTGGAAGTCACATCTACTGAAATTTAGTCATTTAACTTCTGCCCTCACCCATAACTTCTTACTGTTTTTTAAATTCATTTCAAGTTCTGTATGTTTTCCAGTAATTGCAGAGGAGGGCTTGCTTAAAAATATAAATTTGTGATTAAACTAATATTTTCCCAGTTGTATGTGGTCAGTTTTTCCTAGAACATGACCTAAAACATTCAAGGAATAAGATAGCTTCTTACACAAACAAAGTTTCAGCTTTTGTTAGAAGTCATATTTTGAAGTAGTACGTCCTAACCTGCTGGTTCTTTTTGGCTGTCTCCTTATACATGGAGAGGGAACAACAAGAAAAGAAAGGATGGAGGCATATTGAACTTGATTTAATGAAGTGAATATAAACAACGGAAGACACTGTGGTGGATGTTCTGGTATATTAGTCATCTCACTTCTTCATTTACAAAAACAACTGTTTGGCTTTCAGAACTGAAGTGCTCTAGTACTTGAAAACTGAAGTCTGCTGAAATGGGACATATTTCCAAGAACCCTGAGCATATATGAACAGCTCAGAGCAGGAGAGTAGAGGAGAAGGAATAAATTTTCTTCCTATTTCCCAAGGTCTGTCAGTGGGCATTATGGTGAATTTGAGCGAGAAGCAACTTTTCTCCTCTCCAACCTTGTGTAGGCAGCCTGTGCTTTAGTGGAGATCCCAGGTATGCCGTAAAAATTGTTCTTCAATCCTTGTCCTCATGCCATGCTTCTACGTAGGGCTATTAGTCTGAAAATTGTTTTAGGAAAACAACAGCAGCAGACCTATGAGAAGGGAGTTTTTCAATGGGTATGCCTGAAAAGTGGGGGTGGATGGGTTTTTAAGAAGCTTAACTACAGATACTGATCTTTTTTCAGTTGCTTTTACTTTTGATTGGAATCTGTTATAACTATTTGTTTAAATATCTTGGGGCTGTTAATTCCAAAGTTTCTGATGATATAAAAGTATAATTCTTTTTTATTAATTTCAGATGTATGGCCTGCTAATGTTGTTGCGACCGGCTTGTCTTGAGTTACTGTACACATAAATAGGAAAAAAATGTTTTCAGTGAAAATATTTTGTATCTGTTGTGTTTAGTGATTAACAGAAACAAACTGAGTAAGAGATGTTTGCTCCTCGATTCTTCCTGAGAATTTACAACTTCTCTGTGTCGTAGTGTAACAAATATTTTAACTTTTTTCTGGCATTTTTCTGGTGTGTGTCTTGAACATAATCTATTAATCCCCCATCTAGCTTAATATTAACAGATACTGAAGTCTCTCCAAATCATAGACGTATTTGTGCTCCTTGCTTTTCTAAGCTTTGTTTTGAGGCTAACAAGGGGTCTTTCCAAGTCAGCACTTGATGAGAAATATTCAGAGGATACTGAAATGCTTCCTTTACAACTCAAATGCACAGCCTTTGCTTCTGTATGTGACTGTGATGATCTAGAATAGTACTGAGAAAGTTTTTGTCCTGCTGCAGTTTGTGTTACCTCTTGGGCAGTGTTCAAAGCAGGTCCCTTGACACATGCTTAAAAGAATATGGATATTAATTGTAGTGTTCTTGGAAAACTCAAGCTACTTTTTGGCTATATAAACTAGACTTAATGCTCCAACTAAATCACACTTTTCTTTGTCCTCAGTGGCATGTAGAATTTGTTTTGAAACAGCTGTTCCCTTCCTCCAAAAAGTGAGCCAGAGTGATTTGTTGGTGTAGTGCAGTCTGCTGTTCACCTCCACACAAATTTAGTGTTTAGGGTGGAATCTTAATGTCATTGACATAGAAGATGTTTCCGCCCCCCTTCACCTTTAATAAGCACTTCTGGATCCTTGTGTGTTAGGTGCTGCAAAGTGCAAAGTAGTCTTGGTTGATATAAATAATTTTGTAGGAAAACAGCCTAAATGTTTATTGTTAGTATTTATCTCCTGAGAATAACTATGTCCAATTGTGCAGTGTTCAGTTTCCTTGGATGTTTCTTTGGTTACCATATAGATGCTGTGGTTTCAAATAGCTCTTCATCTCTTCTTCATGACATACTCACCTGCCTATGAATTGATATATATAAACGTGTTTTTGCAGAACTTAGGAGAATATGATGGCACATGACAGAACAATGTATTACTGAGTTCAATGGGGAGTTTATTCACAAATGAGGAACATAGTTATAAATTGTGTAGCGACTTCAAGGCTTAAACTTGGAAATACTTGCACATGTAAACAGTGTATGAGTAATCCCACTTAAATGAATCTGTTCTCAGTATCAGGACTTAAGCTGTCTGAAACAGTGAAGATTTGTGTAACTGAAGCGGCTTTCTAATTAAAAATAAATACAAAAATTTAAAGTTCATGTGCTTTAATTGCAGTATTATGTTGCCTTAAAAGATCTCAGAAATTGGCATAGAGAAGTTGTTTGTTTCTTAAATCTAGATAGCTTTTCCTTCTGTAGGATTGATGTTTGTGATAATTCTGGCATTGTCAAACTAGTAGCAATTACTTTATTAAATTGTGTCTTTTGAATTGAATACTGCTGAGAAGCACCAGAATGGCAGTCCTTTGAAGTTCTCTGTAGATCCTATCAGGCAGTGGCAGGGCATGTTTCCAGGTGGTGCACTATCAGCTCTCAGCTGCTCAGTAAGGGCTGTCCTTCTGTGAGGGACCAGCTGGCTGTTTCATCCTTGCCATCTCTGATGAACTGGTAACAGCCTGCTAAACTTGTATTGGGTTTTATGCTGTGAGTTTCTGATGGGGGTGGAAATCAAGTCAGTTTGTTCCCAACATTGGTTATGGGACAGAACTCTTACTGATGAGCTGGCCTGTGTTGCACCTGGTATCCAAGAAGGAAAGAGGTCTTGTGTTGCCTTTCCTCTGAGGTGGAATCATTTGAATCAACTGAACCTATAATGGAGGAGAGGGAAGCTAATTTTCATGAAGTTATTTGGTGATGTTTTAAATTCAATGTTGACTCTTCTGTAACTTGTGTTGGACTTGTTTCTAGTCCAATACCTGCGTATATAATTTGTGTATACTCTTATTTTCCTTTTTTCTTTCCGTTGCTGACAAATAAAGTTATGTAAAAACTACATGACGACATCTTTAAGGGGCTGATTTAGTTTCACACACTATGGAGCTTAGTTTGTGATTTGGCAGCCCAAGGTCAACTTCACACATGACTCCAGAGGGACACTGAAAGCTGCAGTTGGGAACTCAGAGTAATTTTAGATAAAACTGTTTTTCTTGCCTGTTTTGTCACAAAGCAGTTTGAAATCTTCTACAGAAACATACATTTGAGCTTTTCCATGTCCGTCTCCCTCCCCTGTGGAGATTCATTATTAATATCTCAAGCATAATCTGCTTTTTGTTAAGTTGGTTCTAGAACTATATATAAATGCAATTGCTTTTGTATTGTATTACTCTGAACTTTCAGGAACATTTAATCTGATCTGATTTGTGTCAGATTTCCAGGTAGGTTTTTAAGACTTTAAAACTTGTAATGGTTTTCATAAATATGTTTTGTTCCCATCAGATGTGAGTCTTTATAAAATGCTTATTTTCACAAGAAACTCTAGATTTAATTCTGAAGGTCCCTTTCTTGATTCTTGTGGCACAAGACTTGGTTTGTTTTTAAAAAGATAAAATCACATGCTACCATGGCTGAATTTCAGTTCTTGATTTTGCTGTCATGCCAAGGATCTGATACAAAAATACAAAGCAGTTTCACAGGAAAAAAAAATACTTGATTTGAGCAGAAAAATTTAAATGTTAGAATTTTTTTCCTAATTGTAAATATGAAGATGTCTCTTTCTACAAAATAATGGAACTGCAAAAGCATTTGTGGGAGAGACTAGCTTTTTCAAAAACTAGTCACTGTGGAAATTACTCTCGGTCCACCAATTCTGCAAATATTTTTTTCTATGAT